ATTTTAAATTTTAAATTTAAAAATGAGGATGATTGAGACAGAGGGGGAAGATGACAGTCTTGGGAGAAGGGGAAAAGAAGAAGGGATTGGCATAAAAGCGCTGGAGAAGAATTTTTTTTTTTATGTGAAAAAAATGAGTAATAAATAATTAATTTAAATTTTGAATTTGAAATATTAGAAGAGTGTCTTGGACTAAGGGGGTATTTGGATGGAAACTTAAGCATGGTTTCAGAAATGATTTATAGTATATGAAGTAAATATGTGAAGAAATTTATTTTGATTTATAAAAAAGTACTTTTAAAAAGTACTTTTCCTAATTCCCAAACACCCCTTAAGAAATGACACGCAATTCAAAACTCAAATTCAAACTTTAAAATATGTGTCTGCATCGTGCAACTCGATCTGTATGAGCCACATGACACAAAGCCCAATAAAATTGTTATGAAGCCGCATATGCTTTATGAACAGCAAAATGAGTCTAAAACCAAAAAAATAAGCCATTTAAGCTGTGGCTTTAGTGGAAAAGTATTGAAAGACATGTTGATATAATGCAGAACTCCATTCACCAACTGTTTTTTATCATGTAAGTTAGAGCCAATAACTTCCATGGCAAATGGAAGGCCACCTGAATATTGTGCTGCATGGAATAAAACATCCTCATAATAATTTTTGAATCCCCACTGAACTTTGTAAGGGTAAAGGACATTCTTTTTAATCAACTGAAGCGATTCATCAGCACTTAATTCCTTTATGACATAAACTGGCATTTACCCCGCGCATCGCGTGGATACATTAACTTTACTAAAATCAATAATCCTAAGCAAATTTAAAGCAACTCTGGCAAAATCCATAATTCTGAATAAATTTAAATCAATTCTAGCAAAACAAAACTACATAAAATTCATGTACAATTAGTAATATCCAAATTATCATAGAAGTGACTATATCGAACTGAGCTATTCAGAATCATAAATTTTGATTCAACTCTAACAATGTTTTATGAATAGAGCCAAAATTGAAATTTATAAGAGCTGGTTGCTGATTATTAGCGTTTTGTCTTTTACCATCGAAAAGAATTAAACACCAAACAACAAAAACTCCCGCCCCCCCCCCCACCAAAAAAAAAAAGGATTCCTCGTATAATATCAATATGAACCTTCAATGAAGGTAGGTTAAAATTAGTGAGAGTATAATTAATGAGAGACAAACTTTGTGATTATAAACAACATTGGCAACAGTAAATTAAAAAAAAAGAGAGGAAAACAACAAATATAAAGATACTGATACCCAATATTCTGAATTAACTAATTTTAATGCATTCAGTAGTTTGAAATATTTTTTCAGTAACACCTAGTATCCTGAAAAATTAATTAATTTAAAATACTGAATACTATTAAAAAAATATTTTAAAATACTAAATACAAATTAACTTAAATCAATAAAAAAATTAATAGAAATTATTTTAACAAAAAAGGTATCTCATCTCATCCCCAAATGTTTTGGGGATGAGCACGCCGTGCTCAGAGATTTGCTAAGCATGGCATGCAGATTCCAAAAAGAGAGGATAGACGGGAAAAAAAAAAAAGTGGCAATTAGGTCCCATTCAAGAGAATTAAATACAAAAAGGTTTTTTGAAATCATAAAATTATTCTGAAATCCCAAAAGACCTTTTTGCAATAAATTTTATTTATTTAATTATCAAATTATCTTTCTTTTTTTTAAAAGTTTGTATTGACAACCAAAAGAGCAGTGGTTGACAACTCAGAGTGTAATGATTAACAACTATCGCGGCTGATTTGACAATACATTTTCTTAGCATATCACAAAATGTAACGCATGAGTTGTCAAACCATCCACAATAGTTGTTAATCCTTGTACCATGAGTTGTCAATCACTGCTCTTTTAGTTGTCAATGGAAACTTAAAAAAAGAAGGGTAATTTGGTAATTAAACAAGTAAAATTTATTACAAAAAAGTCTCTTGAGACTTCAGAATAATTTTATGATTTCAAGAAACTTTTTTGTATTTAATTCCCTTGAGTGGGACCTAATTGCAATTCTCTCGAAAAAAATGCATAACGAAAGAGAGAGAGAAAGGTGATAAAAGAATGGCGATGGAGTTCAAAACTCTCTCTTTTTTTTTTTTTTTAATGAGAAACCGGATATCGTATTATTTGAAAAGTCAAAATAGAGCATTGCAGCTATTATCCACCTTCTGGGACCTAACGGTTTGATCACTGAATCTCCACCTTCTCCGGCCACTATCATCATCCTCAGTGAAACACAAGTTAATGATGATGTGAATCCTGACCAGCAGACTTTAGAGGCCGAAAGGGAGGGAATAGGCTAACTTTTTTGGCTTAATTTTGTCTCCTTGTTATTTTGTTGGTTATGTATTTACTCTTTTTCCGTGTTGGACCTCCCCGTTATTTTGATTCAATGAATTTCTCGTTCCTGGTCAAAAAAAGCTATTATCCACCTTCGTCAAGATCCACCCCTTCTAAGATAGGTGCAGATTAATGAAACTCAAACTTTTTAAAATGTGAGACTCAAAATCGATGAATAGAAATAAAAGGCCTTGCATCACCATCACCAATCACCAACATGAAAAATAAATGCACGAAGCGCCATAGGAGTTGGCACTGTTCATAGGTCAGTTATTGTTCATAGAACAATAAAAACAGAGAAGAGCCATTATCATAAGAACATCTGAACATGGCTAAGCTTGGGTTTAATAGGAAAATTATCAAGAGGACTAAAAAAAAATTAATTACCAAAAAGTTCTAATAATAAATGACCAACCTGAACTTGTTGTCATTTCCTATTCTAAAACTTGTCATTGTTTATTGTTTACTTGTTAATAGACTTTAAGATAATTAAATTCTTTCTTTAGAACTTGATTGTAATTCTCCATGCATTGATTTTTATTTATTATGTATATAGATTCTTTGAACTCCATGAATTGTCAACAAATATTTATCCCTTGTCATGATGATGACTCTACTATCCCTAATTCTTAATATAAGGAATACTTAACTAATTTTAGTCTATTAAGTCATAACAACCCTCCCTTTGGACTGTGAATCGTTTCTGAGGACGAATCTATCCTCTCCTAGGTCTTAAGTCTCTGCTTTAGGTAGTCCTTTTATCAAGCTTTGCTTGCCTTTTATTACAAAAAAAAATTTAGTATATTAAGAGAATTAATTAAGTTAGTTATTTGTAATAAATATATATTGTTTTTCTTAAAATACTCTTCCTAATAATATGTATTAACTAAAATTATCATTTTGATGAAACAATTAACACATGCAACTACTATAAGGATTACTTTAAAAAAGATATATTAACATGAGAGGCAAAGTAAATTGCAATCTTATATTTAGAACCAAATTAAATGTCAAACAAGCTCTTATATTACCTCCAATCCTTAATATAAGAGTTTTTTTTACTTTTATTTTGGTCTTAAATATGATACCTAATCTACTCTATCTCTTATATTTATCTTTTCTTTTTTTAAGATAATTCTCGTAATAATAGTAGCTCTAGTCAATACATTTTATTAACAAAAATATTTTAGTAAAGAAAACACATATTTATTATAAATAACTAAAATAACTAGTTTTTATTTATTTATTTAAATTAGTCAACTAGCTCTTATATTAAGTATGTGACATAATATTAAGTACCAGAAACAGTACTTCCTAAGCCAAACCACCCATTTCTTCCGGTGAATGCCAATAATTGGTCCACTTTCTCAACATGATCAAGAATTAAAAGAATCTTCTTTGTTTGGAGCCTATTTTTTGTTATTGAAATTCCTTTGTGGAAATCACCCAATTTGTATTCCTTCTCCCTCACCAATTTACGGAGTAATGTCTATTGAAGATGGGACAAGCCGTGCTTGTTAGAAATTAAGAAAAACATTAACCATTGAAATTATTAGCAACTGCTCCTACAGCTGTGTTGATTTAAACGAGTGAAACTAAGATGCAATATATGAAAATGAAACTCAACTAAATGAATACAAATGTTAGTTGTGGGGTTTTTTAACAAAAGAAAAATTAAATTGCTAAGTAAAGGAAATCAATTAAGTAATAAAATAAACTGATAAAGTAAAAAAAAAAAAAGGTTTTATTCAAGTATGGTGAAGGGAACAACTCATGATTTACATGGAGTTAACTTTTTTGGCCCAAATCTATTAATTACGTCAAAGGGAAATGAGAAGAGAGTGGAATTCACTAATTGAATTACCTAGCTGATGCATAAGAGAAGCTCAGCACAACAACACTTAAACTATTAGAGAAGTCATAATGATATAATGTTAGTCAATTAAAACCAATTACAATTAAGTCAAATCAATTCTGAAAATTATGCTTAGAGTGATCTAATGAAACAATTAGACAACTTGTCAGCTCAATGGAACAATCAAGAAGCAAAAACCCAAATTTATAATTCAAGTCACATTGATAATCCAAATTTGTACTTTTAAGTCACATTGATAATTAAATCATAATGAGAACTCAGTTATAAATTTAAGTAACAGTAAAAGGGTTTCAAACATAAATTTCAACAAATATCAAGCACAAAATAAATTCAAATACCAATTCAATCCAATAATAAAAATGATGACAATCTAGAATTAATTGTGAAACATAAGTTTTTTTATAGTCTTCAACTACTTACCCAAGACTCTAACCTCTGCTGCACTCCTCTCAAGTTGTTTTTCAAACCGACTTAAGAAGCCATCAGAACGCCTTCTCCTCCAAACATTAAACACTTCACGGCTCGCTTGGAATGATGAATAGAAATAATGGTCACGTCCAAGGAAGAAGAATGGAAATATTGGCTTACTAATGTAAGAGAGAATGGTGGGTCCCGTAAGTGGATGGAGAATCGAGATGATTGAAGGTGAATGATGAATGATCTTGTGGAGCTGCCGATTTAAGTCCGGAAAGAAGAGAATTTCCTTGGCTATTATTGGATTGTCTTTGAACTCCCAAGATTAATTCTCCAGCATAGGATTTTCTATTGTACTCTTTCTTGACCTACAAGAATTAAATCTATTAATGTAGATTATATTCATTATATCCTAATATAATTAATCCATATCAAAATTAAATATTACATATGCACCAAATTAATATAAGATAAAAAATTACAAAACTTTTCAAAGATCAACTTTTCAGAAATATGAGAATTGATTTTGAAGAAATAGAAAAGATTAACTCCAAACCAGAAATTTAGAGACCATAAAATATTTATATTTTCACTCCAAAAATCTCAATTTTTATAAAATTTTCAAAATCAATCAATTAATCTAATAATGCATAAAAAACCCATTTAAGCACAAAATTATCATTTTTATTAGAATTAATGTCGTACGAAAAAATATTAAAAAAAATTTAAGCTTTATCAAGTGGGATTAACTTGGCAGAGACTTCACAAGTAATTCGTTTAATATGCTCTTGTTTTTTTCGTAATCCAGCCCATAAAAAATTGTCCTTTATCCAAACCAAAAATATATTGATGGGCCAGTTATAGAATGAAATGGAGTGAGAAAGACAACCAAAAAAACAAACAATTTTATCTCGCAGACCTCTAAATCACAAATTTACAGTTATGAATAACAATTTTAAAAATATAACCCATATTCCATATTGTCTAGAAATTAAAAAGTTTTCGCTTTCCTCTCTTGTATTTGTAAGACACAAGCTCATTTCTATTATAAATAATTAAATATGCTTATTTCGTGGGGAGTATAATTTTAACTTGGATCATAGTTATTAAAAAAATATTACTCCCTCATGTTGTTTTTATAAGAAAGAAATGCCAAAATCACACATTTCAAAATATTAGTTAAAGTTAAGGTATGTAGTTAAACAAATCTATTTTGAAACTCCTTGTATTTCAATGAAGGTAAGGAGTTTAGAATATTAGTTAAATAGACCTGATGGCCAACGTTCTAGTAATCAGGCCGTGATTTTAGAAATCAAGAGATACAGAATTGAAAGTCAAATAAAATACAATCAGAATCTGACCCACCTACCTACCAAATCAGCAGACTAATTCCACAATTTAAACAGAGTTATTAAAATAATGGACTAGGGTTTCTCAGGCCCAAGGCACATTAGGTTAGGTTGCTGTCAGTATTTTGTTATTTTTCCAAATTGTACCTTTGTTTATAAAGACAATAAATAAGAGATCATGAGTAAAAATTTATCATAAAGAGATAATAAGTAAAAATAAGAGTAATTTAAAAAAAAGAAAGAAATAACAGTACACACACTCTCTCTCATATATAATTCTCGTGATAACTAATATAGAGGCATATATTTAATAGGGGTGAAAATGTAAAGACCAATTTAAAATTTTAGACAAAAAGTATCTCCTGCTTATATCTAGGACCACCCCATTATTCTTTGGGACAAGGATCCAAGGGAGTATATTAAATTATTCATATAATAAAGGATGAATATAAAAGCAAAAGAAATTGCCTGTATTTTACTTATTTAAAAAACCCAAAAATTAGATGGAAAATAACAATAAGAAGAAGAGAAGACATACCCAGGTTGATAACGCCAGCCTGATAAGTCAGCTGCTTGAGACAAAGCCCTCCTCCATTTCTGTAACCTCTCATCATTTATTCCCAATCTGTTTTGCAAATTAGCAAGATCTTGTCCATAGCGCCCTGTCTGATGCCGCACCTCTGATGGATCCACATCATAAAACACTGAATATACCCGCCGATTTTCTTCTTTGAAATACTCAATAATCTGGGCAAGTTCATCCAGACAGATGGTTGAGGCTGCATAGGTTTTGGAGAAAACTATTATGGCCATCCTAGATTCCTTGATGGCTTTGGAAAGAGATGGTTTGATTTCTTCACTTGCGGGGAGGTATTTGTCATCAATGAAGGGACGAATCCCGCTTTGACGAAGAGATTCGTAAAGATGAGCAATGAAACCAAAGCGAGTATCTGCACCTCGAAAGCTAACATACACATCAAAAGTCCACAAGCGGGCGACAGAAGAGGTTTTTGCTCCTTGCACCGGCCAATCAAATGTTCCACCCGTAAGCTTAGTAGTCATGGGTTCTGCTTCTGCTAGAAACCAAAGGAAATAAATTGAAAGTAAGTAAAAGTTAAAAAAAAAAAAGAAACACTATTTTATAAAGTGCTAAATCTAAATTGTTTAAAGAGAAAATCCTACAAAAAAAAACTAAAAATTATTACATTCTAAATTAAGAATTCTTACAAAAATAAATTGTTATTTGCAAATTAAGTGTAAATAACATATGTCAAAATCTTAATTTGAGATTTAATAATTTTCATGTTATTTTTTATGGTTTTTTCTTTGTTCGAATTTCATCTAACAGACCAGAGGAAAAGTAAGGAAGAACTAGAGAGAACCGACTATTAATTAATTAATTAATTACAATCAATTAATGTCAGTAGTAGGAAGAAGTTGACTGATACCCAAACACACACATATGGTCATATACACTTTTATATATATATATATATATATATATATAGACACACACACACACATATTTTTTTTATACAACGGAAAGGAAAGGCAAGATTACTGTACGATTGAGGATTAACATCCTCAAGCGAAGTCAAGATCCCCGCTTAGATTGTCAGGTTCAAACACTCGAAAGCTTGATGCACTATCCAGGGTGCATTTGGCAAGAAAGTCTGCTATTATAAAAAATTGATATAAATTTGAATTTTTATGGCTTTCCTAACACGGACGAATTTAGGATTGGATACGCAAGAAGCAAGAATTTGGGGGGGGAAAAATTCATGGGGGGTTGCAAAATGCTCAAAATATTTTTACAAGCGGGAAAAAAATTATTTTGAGAAAATCAAGAAATTGTTGGCCACAGATTCATCACTGTTTTACCATAACCGACAACTAGTTCAAAACCGGGACCAACTCGTTGATAGTATCAAAATAGTAGCTGTTCTTGTGGCAAACATTAACGCTTTTTATAAACCACCTGTTTAGCTCCAAAGAATTCATGAAAAATTACATATAAGTCCTGAATAAAAGATTTATTTATAAGTGAGTCCTGTGAATTTGTTGAATACTCTTCTCAAGTCTCTGGAGACTTCATATATGATATACCCCACGCCTTTAACTAAAGTTGGCCAGAGCACACAAGTCATGGAAAATAAGTTATGTATTTATATTGAAAAGAATATATTACTCCTGGTCCTTAATATAATACCCAGTTGACTAATTTGAAAAAATTAAGAAAATTAATAAATCACTTTAAAGTATTTATATTTATTTTTTTGAACTAATTTAATTCACTTATAAATTGATATATAACCTAATGATCTACATAAGTATTTTAGAAAAATTATATAATATATATTATAATTAAGTAATTTAATAATTTTCTTAATTTCTTCCAAATTAGTGAATTGAGTCTTATGTTAAAAATCAGAAGTAGTATTGCGTTAACACAAAATGCAAGAAAAGTGGGGCATACCTTGATAAGGTGTGATTTTTTGGATTGAATCTGCGACTTTTGTTGAATTTGAATCCTCATTCATTTCATCTTCAAGTTCTTCCCAATCTTGAGGTGATTGTTGTACTTTTTGCCATGAGTTGCAGCCAAGGTATATTCTCGGGTCCCTGAATTGGATATCTTCAAAGTCATTTTGTTGCCTATATGCATGAACTGCCATGAAAATTTCCTTGTCCATTATTACTTCTCGTGTATTACTCTTAATTGAAACCTTCACTTGATTCCATCTATCTGCATGACGGAGTTCAACCTTCTTAATTATGCTTTCCATGTCACATATGTATATATGATTAGGCACTATAGTTGACAGTAAAAGCCACTCTGAAGAAATATCTAACTTGGTGTCATTAATGTGCACTGAGAATATACATCTGTAAGGATAAACTTGGTCATTTTCAACAAGAAACCAAAGAGCAACTTTTGGGAACTTATCACGAATCCAAAAAGACATGGAGCTTCCTCGACTATAATATTCAAGCCATTGAGGGATTCTTTTTCCTGGCAAAACAAAGTTTCTTTTCCCATTTCCAAAGTAGAATGCCTGCAAATTACATATAATACCGTAAAATGATAAATAAACTGTAAGTACCCAAGGAAGATCATTCAGAAAAGATTAAAGGGGAGATAGACCTGAGCAAATACTCTTTTTCTGGATGACTTAGACAAAGACGTGCAACCTATGGCGCTGAATGTTTCCAATTTTGGTGGCATCCTATTAATTTTCTGCAATTGCACGCAATGATCCAGCAAGAGATATCTTAAATTCTCACATTCTTCTATGCATGCTGGAAGGGTTGTGAAGCTATTAAACCTTAGATCTAACTGTACAATGTTAGGAATACAAGAGAGACAGAGAGCAAGAGAGTCATTTGTTAAGTTGCAATTTGAGAAACAGAAATGTTTTCTCGAAGACACGATTGAGTTGTCTTCTTTTTCTTTTCCTTTGGTCAAAATGATTGAGCAGTCTGAACTTGCTTCTTTTCCACCATTGCATTTCTTGAAATGCTTCATCCCTTCACAAAAATTTGTTGTTAGGTCCAATAGGTTTGGCAACGTACAAATACTAGCCGGTAATTGCTTAAGATTAGGACACGATTCCATGTTCAAGCTTTCAAGCCCAACGAGGTTGCAAATTGAAGATGGCAATCTTGCAATGGCCGTACTCTCCAAATCAAGTGTCTTCAACTTCTCCATCTTGTCTGATATCTCAGGAAAACTTTGAAGACTTGAACAGCCAAAGAGATTTAGATGTTCAAGCGATGTTAGCTTAATACTAGGGGGCAAAATCCTCAAGTTTTTGCATCGCATAGCACTCAATCTTTTGAGTTTATCTAAGAATCCAAGTGAATCATGGATTTCAATTAAGTTTATACAACCATCAAGCCGCAATTCTGTTAAATTAGGAACTCCCGACAAGTTTGGTATTTGGCTCAAGGACTTACAGTTGCTAAAATTCATGCAACTTAAAATCTCTAATTTCTGCAAAATTGAAAATGGAAAAAGAAGTTAGATAAAGAAAATGAAAAAAGCACTTAGTTTTACAAGTACGTATATAAGCATACCTTATTAAAAGGTTGGAGCACCACACAACTATTGGACAAATCAAGATGGACGAGTTTTTTTGGATGAAAATTAGATGGCAAAAACTTAAAAGGATACCCCTTCCATTCCAACACGCAGAGACTATTTGGGAGATATTTGATGCCTTTAAAAAAGCTTGCATTCCTTATGACAAGCACTTTGAGCTTCTTCATCTTCATGAATGCCTTGCCATTCCATTGGATTTCTTTATCTTTGGGTAAGTCAAGAATTATGACTTCAATTTCATCAGTGCCCTTTAAAATGAAAAGCACACAATAAATGCCAAATTTTAGGTATACAAAAGTCATATAAATGTAAGAATTAAACAGAGTCATTTGTGTTGTGTTCGCACCGTGTTATTTTGCAAGACATCAAGAATGTCTTCATAACACCATAACCTGTTGCGTTTCCCGGGCTCGTAATTGCTCCACTTTGTCAACATCATCAAGAATTAAAAGAATCTTCTTGTTTTGGAGCCTATTCTTTATTATTGAAATTCCTTCATAGAAATCACCCAATTTGTGTTCCTTCTCCCTCACCAATTTATGAAGTAATGTCTCTTGAAGATGTGACAAGCCATGCTTGTAAGAAATTTCTCTAACATTAGAAAGAAAACACAAACCATCAAAATTATCAGCAACTGAATTATACACAGCTCTTGCAATTGTTGATTTACCTATCCCACCAATGCCACAAATTCCAATCATCAGTGCGTTTTTGTTGGACCCAAGATCTAGAAGTGAGATTACTTCTTTTTCCCGAAACTCAAGGCCAACTCGATGATCGGCAACTTCTAAAAGAGTGCGATTAATCTTGGCAGAGACTTCATGAGTTATCGTTTTAATACCCTCTTGTTCTTTTGTAATCCTGCCCATAAAAGTGTATCCCTATTCAAATCAAATGTATACATGTGCGTGTGTATATATATATTTATATATATATATATTGACGGCCCAGTTATAGAAGGAAATGGAATGAGAATGAGGCTAAGATAAATAAACAAGTTTCAACATGAGAAATATCTTGCACATGCCTCTAAATCATAAATTTACAATTATGAATAGTAAGTTTAAAAATATAAAACATGGTTCTATATCGTCTAGAAATTAACACGTTTTCGCCTTCCTCCTCGTAGTTGTGAGACACAAGCTCATTTCTAATATAAATAATTTAAAATAAGCATATTTTGTAAGGAGCACAATTTTAACTTGGGTCACAGTTATGAGAAAATATATTATATTCGTATAATATAAGATAGTATAAAATAAAAAGAAGGTGAATGTATTTTACTTACAAGAAAAAATCTAAAAAATTGGATGGAAAATGACTATAAGAAAAAGAGGGGTACCCAGGTTGAAAATGCCAGCCTGACAAGTCAGATGCTCGAGTCAAAGCCCACCTCCACTTCTGCAACTTCGCATCGTTTCCTTTCAGTCTGTTCTGCAGATCAGCCAAAGCTTGTCCGTAATTCCCTCTCTGATATCGCACATCTGATGGATCCACATGATAAAACACTGGATACACCAGTCGACTTTCTTCTTTGAAACACTCAATAATCTGGACAAGTTCATCCAGACAGAAGGTTGAGGTTGCATAGTTTTTGGAGAAAACTATGATGGCTATCCTGGATTCCTTGATGGCTTCGAAAAGAGACGGTCGGATTTCTTTAGCTGCATCAAGCGATTCATCATCAATGAAGACACGAATCCCGCTTTGACGAAGAGACCCATGGAGATGACCGACGAAATTCAAGCGAGTATCTTCCCCTCGAAAGCTAAGAAACACATCATAGCTCCATCTGCGGGTGACGGAAGAAGATCCTGCTCCTTGCGCCATGATACAGTAATCTCACAGATCTGAGAACTTGTAGGTTTATATTAATGTAAGTTGCCAACAGCAGGCTTCCCCGAAGGATTGTCACATTTCCTTTTCATTTGGTGGCGCTCTGAAAATAATATAAAGACGAGTGCTCTATGGTCAAAAGCAAAACCAAAAAGGGGAAAGACAAATTCATCTCATCAGATAAAATCGACAATGAATTTCAACGGACCAGTGGAACTCGGCCCTGTCTGGCAAACCTCTTTTACAGCAACGGGGAAGGGACTCGAATTGAAATCAGGGAGAACACCATGAAGGGAAGGAGAGGGAACTTGGTGATATGCAAACACAGAAGAGAAAATAAAAATAAGCTGAATCACATCAGAGCTTTCTTGATACAACTGCTTGAGGTAAGTAGTGAAATTATTTGATTTATGCTTTCGGTGCTGATAAGTCGAGCGTGACCCAAACGACGGTTCCTTTAGGAAACAAAGCAGAAAAGAACAAATATCAGTACAATTATTTCGTTGCCCCGGGGAAGGATCAGCACAGTTATTTCAAATTTTCTTTTTATTAATTAATTGGTAGCGCTTCAGTTTGTTACTAGCCGGTCAAAAAGGTGACAGGTGGATTACAGGCTGTGTTAATAATTCATTTGTACGATGAATGTTTGAAAAAAAAATTATCACTGAGTTTTAATAATAAAATTATCATTTACTCTTATAAAATTTGTCATTATAACTTATTTTATTGTCATTAAGACTTGGTAATCATGATTTTTACTTGGGATTTCGTTGCAGTCCTCCCTAATTCATTTGCTTATTTGCTTGTGGGACTTGTTTCCTAACACCTTTTTACTTCCTCCCTCTCATTATATTTGTATTTCACCGTAAAAAATTTAAAATAGGGATGGACACTGAGTGGACATAAATAGTTGTATATTACCTCCAATCTTAAATTAAAAAAAAATAGTATAAAATTTTTTATTAATCTTAAATATAATGTTTCATTTTAATTTATTTTCTAAATTTATACTTTTGTTCTCCAAATTCTCCTTACACATATTAAGAATTATTCATTAAGAAATATTTTTCAATGCAAATAATTATATGAGTATTTTAGAAAAGTCAATACACATTTTTTATAAAGTATAACTTAACTAATTTTTTTAATATTTACATATTAGTAGTATTTTGTGTGGAAATTAATTATCTAAGCACGCAAATATCAGAAAGGTTCTCTGATGAAGTCATCTTTTAATTTCCATCTTCTCTCTCCTTCATTTTCTCTCCTTTCTCCAACTCTGCTTCTTGTCTATGCCATGTTACTTTCATTTTCTTCCTCCCACATTCAAAGTACACTTTCTCCTCCTTCTTTTTTGGTATTTTAAACCCATCCTTTTCCTTGTTTTTTCCTTATTATATCTTTCTTTTCTACACTTTAGGCTTTTAACGCTAAGACACGAATCCCTTTTTGAAGAAGAGACTCGTAAAGATGACCGATGAAATTTAAACGAGTATCTTCCCCTCGAAAGCTAAGAAACACATCATAACTCCATCTGTAGGTGACCGAAGAAGATCCTGCTCTCTTCGCCATGATACAGTAGTCTCGCAAGTTTGTGAAGACCGAAATGAAAGTTCAACTAGTAGGGTTTGTATTAATGTAACCGTCCGTTAGTCTTGTGTGGTTTCCAACGGCACGCTTCCACGAAGGTTCGTCGCATTTCCTTTTCATTTGATGGCCTGGCCCTCTGTAACGCGTATATTAAAAAAACGAAGTGCACAATAGTCAAAAGCAAAACCAAAAAGAAGGGGGTGGGGAAAAAGCAAATCATATCAGCAGGTAAGATCGCCAATGAATTTTTCATTTTTGTTTTCTTAAAACAGTCCCGTTGATGGGTTCAGCAGACCAGTAGAACTCGCCCCCGTCTGGCAAACCCCTTTCCCACAACGGGGAATGGGACTCAAATTGGCATCAGGGGGAACCCCGTGAAGAGAAGGAGAGGGAACTTGGTGATATGGAAACACAAAGAAAAAATAGAAATAACCTGTGAATCATATCAGAACTCATCTTTTAATTTCCATTCTATCTCACCTCTTCTCTCCTTTCTCCAGCTCTCTGCTTCTTGTCTCCGCCGTGGTC